CATGTTAATTTAAACATTTATAAAACAAATACCTATAAAAATAATTTTGTTAAATTTATTATTAAGAATCTTATGAGCCTTTTTCATGTTGGCTGCATTATCAGTCAAAACTGCAACAACTTTATCTTGGCCAACTTCACTAATTACTTCTTCTATTTTTTCTGAGATATATTCAGCAGTGTGTGATGATTCTTTGGTTTCTAATGCCTTCCAAAATAGTGGTTTTGGTAAAGTAACCATGAAATTAATAATTGATTCATTATGGTTGTTTGTCCAGCCATCACTTGTTATACAGACATATTTCGATTTTTCAATTTGATTATTATTATTTTCAGTAATTTCATTATATTTATCATTTAACAATTTGATAGTGAGTGTTTTTCTGGATGGTAATTCATAAGCAGGACGTAGTTTTTTACAAAAATTAATAAAATACTGATTTTCTACAATTGATAAGGGGAGACCACTACCAAAAATTGCTAGAGATAAATAATTGTCTAGTTCTTCTTTTTCTTTAATTGAACATTTATCAATGAATCCTTCCATGACTTTTTGTTTATTTTTTCTATGAACATTATCAAAATCTTTAGTTTTATTTTTTAACAATATTTTCAATTCATTTGGTGCATTATTACAAGAAAGTAAATGTTTAATCATGCGAAGAGGTTGTCCATCAAAAGCATGTTGACAATAATTACAAGAAGCTATATAATGCTGCTTGTTATTTTTTCTTTCTTGTGACTTTTTGAAATGTTTCCAAATAAAATGCTGTGGCCTCATTTTCTCATTTAAAAAATTTTATTATTTTGTACAACCATGGTATAAACGTGTTATAAAAGTGGTAATGGTATATAACATGGTATATAACAGGTATATAACAGGGTATAAACTAGGTTGTTATAAACCCGCCCATCACTAATTGCGTATTGGCCATATGTAATAGTAACTTTGAAACCATCTGACGACACGCGTGAATTTTTAAATATTTATTTCCGGAAAGATCATGATCTAATTTATTTTTATTTTTTCTGCGCCAGTACGATGATGCTTTTGAAGGAGTGTGTAGTTTACGAGATATTGGAGCAGTAAAAACGGTATCTTATTCAGTATATATTAAAAAAACATATTGTATTATACTAACTTTTCTCATATAAAGAAAAAAGAAAACCTCTCAGTTCCGAGCAGATCGAGAAAAACATATCGGAGTTGAAGTCGAAACTTATAGTAAGTATTAATTGTTTATTAGGCAATAAATTCCATCTCTAACTCCTAAATATAATTCATTAGCAAAATTCATCACCGCTTTATGACGAATTACTTAGCTCTTTGGGGGATGTAGTGATTTCTGATTTGTCGTGGAAAGATCCTATCGCTAGCCAGGTTATTAGCGATGACTCAGAGCTAGTTAAGAAATTGCCGAAAAAATTAAAAAGGGTCTTTATGGTAGGTAATGATGTTACTATCACACCTTATGTAGGATAATATCTTAACTTATTTATAGGAACCAGCTCGTAAGATGATACCTACCTCCTTACCACCAATTGTTCGAGAAACATGTAAAGAGTTTGCATCGGATTATAACGAACGACAGATGGAGGTCTTACCAACAGGAGGGAACGTCCTATATAAGGAATGGATTTTCACAATTGATTTCAATTTTTTTTATACAGTTTAAAATACT